ACTACGACAACTACTCCCCTTCGAGCTACACCAAAGAAGAAGTCCAGCCCGTCAAACCCACCCCTGTTACCGCTCAGTCTGCACCTTCATCCGCCGTCGCCAACAACCCCGTTCAATCACCCGAGGTCGTCAAGCCTCAGGCTTCCGTCCAATCACAATCACAACTCCAAACTCAACAGCATCAGACCTCGACTCCGACTACGACGCAAGCTACTTCACAAACTGCCGAGCTACCACCCCAACAGCAACAACAACAACAACAAATGTATCCTATGTACCCGGGCAATGTAAATTACTACGGATCATACCCCACACCGCCCGGTCCATACCCCGGACACCCAGGTCCTGCTAATCAACACGGACAGTACCCCGGTAGCCAGTACTATGCTGGAGGCGTTTACGGAGGCGCTGGTGCTGGAGGAGGATATGGTGGCGCAGGGTTCAATGCGGGAGGAAATGCGCCGTATAGTGCCGGAGGAACTGCACCGCCGTACTCTACGGGTGTGAGTGGACAAGCCCCTTACTCGGCTGGTGGTGTCGCCGGTGGACAGTATGGAAGTGCTGGAGGTGCCGGTGCTGGATATTCGACTGCCGGAGGAAGTGGTGGGTATAGCGGTGCCGGAGGTGCTGGAGGAGGGTATTCGGGAGCCGGAGGACATGGACAGTATTCGAGCGGGTATGGGCATCAACATCATCAACATCAGCAACACCAGATGCATCTCATGGGTATGGGAGGACAAGGTCAAGTTGCGGGAGGTGGACCACCGCCCCTGCCGATGGGTATAGGAGGCCAGTTGGGTATGGGTGGACAGGCTCAGAGTCCTATGGGAGGAATGGGTGCTCATTTGAGCCACCTCGGTATGGCGGGCAGTGGAATGTACCGCGGCATGTACGGTGCTCAAGGAGGTCAGCAACAGCCTCAGGCCGGTGGCCAGCAGCAGCAGGGACAGGGCCAACAGGCCGCACAGGGTGCACAGGCCCAGGTCCAGCAGCAACCTCAGACACCAGGAACTCCTCAACAAACTCATGCCACCGCAGCTGGAGGACGACACCAACAACACCATCAACAACACCAACATCACGTTGGCCAAGGTTATCAAGGCTTGTATGGTCAGATGGGACTTGGTGGACAGATGGGAGGTTTGGGTCTAGCTGGGCCTATGGGTATGGGAGGCATGTATGGAGATCAAGATCCCTACGGCGATTACAAGTACCAGAACACGCCTAACAGCGGAGCTGGTGGAAATGGTGTTGGCAGTGCTGGTTCGACGGGTGCTTCTGGCAACTCGACTGGTGGCGCATCCAATACCTCCGGTGCTGCAAGTTCTGCAGGTCTCCCTGCTTACCTTGGACTTAGCCAAGGTCAGGGAACACAGAGTGCAGCTGGCGGCCTAGGCTTGGGCGGAGGTGCTCTCGGTGGCCAAGTTGGTGCTGGTGTCGGTGCTGGGCAGAGAGGATCTCCGGAGACTGCCTATAAGCCATACGGCTCCAATAAGGGTGATCTCCAGACCCAGGGTGGACAGGTTCAGAGGGGTGCAGCTACCGGAGGCCAGAGCGGCGTCGGTGGTGGGCAGAGTGGCGGCCAGTACTACGGGAGATTCAACCAGCAGCATCAGCAAGGAAGTTTGGGCGGACAGGGCGGTGCCACTGGGACCGGCCAAGGAGGCAACGCGTACGGGGACCAGACTCAGCAGTATTATTACCAACGGGGCCAGTACTGGCAATAAAATAGCGGCTTAATCTTTTCTTTCTTTCCCGAACTTTCGCTCCATTTTCTCTCTCGTCTCTCGACTCATTCATCTGCTCTCCTGTCTCTCGCTTTCTCTCTGTCTCTGTGTCTTCTCGTGCAATATTTACATTAGTGACAAGTATACCGCATACAATCCTGCTCTGATATTCACGACCAACATACTTATCTACATTGTACTTTTTGCTGTCTGTTTTACCAATGCACCATCAAAACAGAACGAAGCGGCTGTAACTCTGACTGATCCACATGGGAACTCGAGTGTGAACGTCGAACAATCGTGAATCGTGTATCAGTGGGTATCAAACATAATACTAGTACAGTAAGGATATACATTAGATATTGAAGTCTCGAGTCGTTCCCATCACCATTCACGCACCGACCAAACCCACCGTTGATGATCTTGGGATGAACTGGCACTGGAATGGAAGGGGATGGCTAGAACGAGACGTTAATCATTCAGTCAAGACCGTTGTGCGAAAAAAACCACGAACCTGGTCAGTCCCTCGCTGTACTCAATCACTGGTTCGATTTCTTTACCATCGCTATCCACCTCTTTCGCCATCCTGAAGGTATGGAGAAGATGTGCCATAACAAGCCAGATCGTGTTCACCGCGAGGTGCCGCCCAGGGCATATTCTTCGGCCAAAACCAAATGCGATAGGTTCTGGGTCGGGAGGGAGCTCTTTTCCGTCCTTCTTGATGAAGCGGTCTGGGTTAAAAGCCAGGGTATTGGGGCCGTAAAGGTCCTCGTCGTGCAAGATAGCCCTTGCTCCAGTCAGTAAGGGGAGAGATCGAGAAGGCGGGAAGAACCTACCACACGTTCGCGACGATTGTTGCACCTGTCAGACCACGTTAGAAAGAGTTCGAATAAATATGATTGAAGGTCCTTACCTCCAGGGATTAGATACCCGTCGTACACATCGTCATTCACTACACAATGAGGAACAGCTGTGGCGAGGCGTCCGTGAGGAATGTTAAGAACCAGAATACTGGCTACCGGCAGAGGGACTCACACATTGGCGTCACTGGGTTCCACCGTAATGTCTCCGAAAGGACAGCATTGAGGAACGGCAGATTCTCTCTGTCTTCGAAATCGGGGAGACGGGAAGGACCAACCACTTGGTCGAGTTCTTTTTGGGCGCGTACCTGAACTTCAGGGAAGACTACCATGGCTGCGACGAACGATAGTACAGCAGAAACAGTCTACCCGGAACCAATAACAATCAGTGAACAATGTCGTAGACCATAGGCAGAGCAACGTACCGTGTCAGCTCCGGCTAGGATTGGTATTGAAATCATGTATTAGATTTCTGGGGAACACAATTTCACATGCCACATCCCCATACCTGTGAGAGAGACAGCGGCGCAATTCTTGATCACTTCCTCCATTTCGGAGTGCTGGGGATCGCCGGGTGTTATTTTGAACTTCTCAAGGTTACGGGTTGAGAAGCAAGGCTCTGCAGTTCCATCCTCCTGACGTCCGGCGTCAGTCATGGTTCCTTATCGCATGGATTGAGAGAGAAGGAACTTACAATCGCCTTCTTCATCCATCTCCACGGCCGGTCTTTGAGTTCATCAGTAAACCAAGCCCACTCGTTCGCTCTTCTTCTGAAACCGGCTCCGGGGAGCCAAGCTTGGGAGATCGTGATTCGTCAGGTTGGGGGGTTCGAGACGACCAAGATAGCACTCACATGGGATGCGCTTCAGTATCGGCAGGTAGTCAACCATGAACGAGCCGTGATTGCCTGATTCCTTCAGTCCAGCCCAAGCATCGTCCGCCAACTTTATGAAGGGGTCATTATCACTCTGAAGTTTGTATCCATAGACGATATCAAGGATAATAGCCCCCGAATGACTACAACGAGCAATGAGCTTCAGAAGGGCCGTCACTTCATATGAAAACTAGAATTACTCACTGTCTGATATGCTGGAAAAAGTTTTTCGGTGAAGATACCAGTTTGCTCATCAGGGAAGCTGTCGCGTCTCGCTGAATATCGTAGTATTCTGGAAGCACTCGGGGCTGGAAGAATTGGTGGAAGGTCCTCCGGTGCAGTCTTGGATAGAAAAACAAGCATGATGACCGGCCGAAACATACAAAGGGCGTCGCGCACGTACCTCCACTTATCAGAGTATCGCATGACTTCAGAATTGCACCCACAAGATGATTTCTTTTGAGAGGTCAAACGAGAAGGCAGCACGACAGCACTCACAACCCATGTTCCAGTCCCATCTGCCAAACAATCACAAGTGGTCAGGCGGGCCACCAAAGATTCGCAGAAGAAGAAACACGTACCTCATGAGGTCAATCGTCATCGGCATTTCTGTTGCGGCGAGAAGGTCAGTATAACATGACCCGATGCAAGGGTACTATTAGAACTTGTTACCTGGTCTGTCCGAGTAGTTGTGCGACCTCTTCTCAAAAAGCTCTGTGACAGCTTTGAAAGAATTCAGAATGATCGTACGAGTGCCGAAGACTTTCAGATGGAAAACATCGCCATAGATTCGCGACCAGTCAGCGTAGGTAAACCAAACAGGCTCGTCTCGCTTCGTAGCTTCACGGATGTTTCCCACTATTGGTAGACCCTTGGGTCCCGGAGGCAAGGGAGCAGAGCTTTGATCCTGGTTGGAGAAAAGACGAATGGCAACTAGCACGGCGGCGGAAAGCGCCAGGAACGATGGGGATATGGAAGGCATGATCCCAGCTGCCTGGGGAATTGGAGGAAGTTTTATCCCAAGAGCCTGCTTAAGTAGCGCAAATTACGGGTGTTGAAGACATAGTCTGGATCAGTATCTGTTCCACATTGTGATTGGTGTTCGAAGCTTCGGGCGAGACGCAGGCGATCTTCACAAACTGCGTCTAGCCCTTGCGGTGGGTATGATGTAGTATGCAGGTTTCCCGTATCTGACTTAAAGAATATGTTCTTCCGTCGTACGAGGGGTTGAATCGATGCTTCCTGTGGGTTCAATACGGTCAGGAGATAACACAAAGAATGGCAACATTCTCCGCATACAAGAGCGGACGTGGGAGTCAAAAGTCAAGTTGATTTGTATACAAACGCCCGGGTCCAGTATCAATAGTATGTGCCTATTTCTTCAGCCCGGTGCCAGCTTCAGGATCCGAAAGATCATAGCCAAGTCTACTGCCTACATCGCATTCGATTCGAACTAAATAGTCTTTCTCGACAAAAACCTGGGAGTGGGGGTTTGTGTGCTGTAGTTGTGGTGTAGACAAGAATACGTTCTATTGCCAAGCCGGTTTAGCTTAGTGGTAGAGCGTTGCACTTGTATCATCACATGTGGTGTAGCTATGCAAAGGTCGGTTGTTCAATCCAGCCAACCGGCAATGAATTTTGTAATTCCGACTTTTTGCTCGAGTTCAACACCCCTCCATAGGAGGAAGTCGCGGGCGACAATTACCAAGTAGTTACAGTCGTTTCTGCATAATTCACCCTTTTGGGATCATGGATTTACTTCAAAAATGTTTTCCCAAGGGGGTATAGCTCAGCTGGGAGAGCAGCAGACTGAAGTGAAGACGATTTCTGAAGGTCCCGCGTTCGATCCGCGGTACCCCCATCACTAATTTTGTTTATCTTGCGATGAAGAAGTGAAGCAGGGGCTCGAAGTTGACCTTCGTTGAGAACAGAGCAGGGGCCTTAATAAAAAATTTGTACTCTCAAGTGTATGTCACATAGGCCATCATTGAAAGGAATTTGATTAACATAATCTCATCAAGTTTTTCTACTTGCTCGACGTTTCTTGGGGAAGCGCGACGAGCTTAACCCCACTGACCCGTCCTTCCCCAAGCCGGCCGATTGCCTCTTGCAGCCCTTCCAACCCATTAGCAAGTTCCTCAACTCTGTTGGGCTACAAGTACGAGTCATTAGATGGCTGCCACTGGAAAAAAAAGAAGAAAATATCTCACCACAATTGTACCGTACTCTAGCCATCTCTCCACTTTACCAAACAAATTTCTTCCGAATGCCAAGTTGAGAGCAACCGTTCCGTCCGCGAACAACACCTTCTTTCCGGGCGTTTGTTGTTGGACGGAAGGAGGGGTGATGACGACTAGAGTCCCCTCGTCAGCTACGCAGGCGTAACCAGCGGCTTGAGTTTCGGGTGCGCTGACGGAGTCGAAGACTATCTTGAGGGGCGTTTGTGTAATCTTCTTCACTTCAGTGGGAAGGTCCTTGAGTTCGACAGTGGTACGATCGATTACGTGGGTTGCCCCGAGAGACTTAAGGTGGGAGGCGTGTTTGGCGGAAGCGTAGGTGATGATGGGAGAGAAGCCGGACCATCGAAGGAGCTGGATTACTGAGGTCGAAATGCTTGTAAGTAGAATGGTCGACTTCGGCACACTATACCAGTTCGACTTACTGTATTGACCGACGGACGTGCTCCCTCCGACAACCAAGAAGGGCCGGTCCAGGTATTTGACTGACTCGTCAAGAGTGGGGTTGAGTCCCGCGCCTTTGGGGAACTCGGCAAAGAGTCCGTTAGCGGCAGCGGAGAGACCGACAGGGATAGAGGCTGCTTGCGTGTAGGTAACCGACTTCGGAATCTAGAATATCAAGGTCAGTATTTATTGAGGCGTGGAAATTACGGTAACGACGCGGGAACTTCATACTCTCGAAACGACATCAGCCGTAGCTTTTGCGTATTGCTGATACCCAGCATAGTCATCCCTGGGCCCGAAAGTCCCTTGGAAAAGGCTGTATCCGGAGTACAGTGTCAGACGTGATGATAAAGGGATCTCAAATTAAGCAAACAGACCCACATCCGATCACCAACCACAATACCAGCAGAGTTGTCTCCACCCTCTCCAATGGCCATGACCTCACCAGCGACGTCGAAACCGATGATCAGAGGGTACTGGTCGTCTTTGAGGAGAAGTCCGAACTTCTGCATTTTCCAATCGATCGGGTTGGCCGCCGCTGCGTGCACCTTGACGAGCAGCTCAACAGGCGAGCCTGGTTTGCTCGCGGTGAGAGCGGGAATATCGCGATCGCGGAGAACGAAGGCTCCGTTTTTCTTCTCGAGATAGAGCGCTTTCTGAGAGGACATCTTTGTCTTTGTGTTTAGCTGGGCAACGAATAGAGCTGGGGAAATGCGGGTCTGGAGAGTGGGCTTATTGTCGTGTCCTTTTTATCTGAACGCCCAGAATCCTGCCAGGTGCGTGAAACCACCGGGATGATGCAACGGGAGGCGATTTCACGTCAGCTGGTTGGTAAAGGTCGAAGTCGCTATTCTGATAATGGCCTCGAACACGGCTAAATCATACAAATTAATCGACTCTGGGGCAGGTCGGATGGCTTCCGAGGTGCTGGAGTTTGTCGCGTAACGCGACATACTCAAGGGATCAAGATGCCGAGCCAACGCAGCCCAACGGCTCGACGGTCTGGTATAGAGATATGATCGTGAGCACAGTATTCGGAGTATACGGTGGTGAGTTAAGCCAGGGACTGAGAAGTTGTCTCAGTCAGCGTCTAGGTTGGTCCTTACAAAGGAGCTGCATTAGCTCTAGACATGCCACACCACCAATTGGAACTGATACATCTGACTTACAAACGATTGTCTATACTGATACCGTTGCTATCCTATCCCAATCACCCGAGAATTGATACCCTGAATGGTCCCCTGCTCAAACAGGCATTCCCAACGTCCGAAAATAACATCCTGGTATCGCCACCAGTGTTCGCTCTATTTACACAAGCTCACAACATCCTTCCCCGCAGCCATGGTCTTATCCAAGCTGGCCTGAGCGCTAGAGAGCGAAGATGTGACGGCCGGATCCGTGCTGAACAGAGGGAGTTACTATGCAGGAACAACTTTTGGGGCACAAATACTAGTGAGAAACACTTACGAGGAGATCGAATCGAGAGCCGACTTCGCATCAGTGAGGCCTTGCAACGTTTGATCACGAGCAGCCGCGGGGGCTTTCTGCAAAGATACGATGGCTTGTGCAATCTGGCCTATACCATCTTGCGCACTACTGAGGCCGCTTTGGGCGCTTTGGGCGGCACTGGAGGTTGCCGGGTCGCTGGGAGGAAGGAAGGAGAAGAGGGGAGGTGAGCGTGACCGGAAGTGTAGCAGAGAACGACTTGAAGTACCTTCCAGCAGCGGACAACATCGCGTTGACACTGTTCGTGGTGTCCGCCAAGTTCTTGACAGTCTTGAGGCGCGCAACGTTGCATTGGACGCTGCCAATTTGACGTTTCCCTTTTCCGAAAGCCTTTGCAATGCCTGAGGCTGGGTTCTGCAACGTGAATGGGTGAGATTCGTGTCGTTACTCTGATATTGAGTTAAAGTACTTACGGCGGCTGCTCCGCCGGCCGCACCGCCAGCGCCAGCGGCCCCTCCTCCTCCTCCACACAAAGAAACCACCTGTTCGCCGGCTTGTGCCGTCTTTGCAAGTTGGGCCATGGCATCTTTCACACCGGAGGTGACGGCAGGATCCGTGCTAACAAAACCAATAAGGCCCATGAGCTCTATATCAACCAGTTGCTAAACTTTACTCACGATGATATAGACTGGAGAGCCGACTGTGCGGATTCTAGGCCATCACCGACTTGAGTACGTGCGTCGGCTGGGGCATCTTGTCCGCTCAAGATAGCTTGCGCGATGGTTTGGATGCCTCCTTGAGCATCCGACAGGCCTTCTTGGGCTTGTGCTACCGCGGACGAGGTTGCTTCGTCACTATGGGGAAGGGGGATAAGGATCAGTATTATACAACATGAGGAGATTCTACTGGGTACTACTGACTTCGCACCGGCGGAAGCGAGTTGGTCGACTGCCTTCGTAGTCGCCGAGAGTCCTGAGACTGTCTGCAGACGCGCGACGTTGCATTGGATGCTCCCAATTTGACGCTTCCCTTTCCCAAGAGCCTTGGCCGGGTCGGCGGCTGGTCCTCCGGCGGCTGGTCCTCCAGCAGGTGGTCCTCCAGCGGGTGGTCCTCCAGCGGGTGGTCCTCCAGCGGGTGGTTCTTTGGCAGCCTTGGCCGGGTCGGCGGCTGGTCCTCCGGCGGCTGGTCCTCCAGCAGGTGGTCCTCCAGCGGGTGGTCCTTTGGCAGCTGGTCCTTTGGCAGCTGGTTCTCCGGCAGCTGGTCCTCCGGCAGCTGGTCCTTTGGCAGCGCCAGCGGCCCCTCCTCCACCGCACAAAGAAACTACTTGTTCGCCGGCTTGTGCCGTCTTTGCGAGTTGTGCCATGGCATCTTTTACACCAGAGGTGACGGCAGGATCCGTGCTAACAAAACCAGCAAGAACCATGAGCTCCATATCAACCAGTCGCTGAATCGTACTCACGATTGTATAGACTGGAGAGCCGACTGTGCGGATTCTAGGCCATCACCGACTTGAGTACGTGCGTCTGCCGGGGCATCTTGTCCGGTCGAGATAGCCTGCGCGATGGTTTTAATACCTTCTTGGGCATCTGACAGGCCTTCTTGGGCTTGTGCTACCGCGGAGGAGGTTATTTCGTCGCTGGGGGAGGGGAAAAGAATGTTAGTACTCCACAACATGCGGAGGCTCTACTGTGCATTACTTACTTCGCACTGGCGGAAGCGAGTTGGTCGACTGCCTTCGTGGTCGCCTCAAGTCCTGAAACTGTCTGCAGACGTGCGGCGTTGCATTGGGCGTCGCCGATCTGGCGTCGGTGCAGGGGAGCTAAGGTCCGTGTCATTGAGTTATCTTAGGAGTCAGAGAGAGTTTGTTTCATGTGCTTACCTGCTCCGGCTTGGAAGGCCAAAAACGCAAAGACGAGAGCGAGGTTGAGTGAGATTTTAGCCATGATGGAGAGCGGAATGACAAGAGGGCGTAGGAACAATGAAGGCGACCAGCGAGTGAGAGATGGAACAAATGACACCAGGTCAAGGAAGAAACGGTAACGAAAGAGTGGGGTGGTGGCTGGAAAAGGTGTCTACTGAGGTTTTATAGGTAGGTCGATGATCGCACATCATGGGACCAAAGCTGAGACGGCTGTTCCATGTTCTTGCCTCGTTATGGAGTACTACATGCATGATGAAGTTCTACGGCTTGAAGTTACTGGCACATAACCATGGTGATCCGGGATCCCCACGTCGGCCTCGAAGTTCCGACTCACGAATGATAGGACCCGTTGTCTTCAAAAATAGGTGTACCATCAAGGATACAGCCTGTGCTGCATTGAGTCAACAGCTTTGGTATGTAGAGTCTAGACAGACTTCTCGAGATCAGTTGATGAGTCCACTTCCATAATAGCTGCCCGTGTCACCTCGGTCAAGCAACCGTGCAACGAGCAGCACCACACCCGTTCGTCTCAAGGTATGTCAGTTTTGAGAATCCTATTGACTTTTGACCTGGGAACAGGAGC